ACTCCTCCGAGGGCCACATGCTGGGGGAACCAGGGCCGCCTGGCCAGCTGCCTGGGAGGATCTCTGTCGCTACCATGCCCCTCACTGGGACAACCCAAGGTGAGGTCTCTTGCCCCAGCTGCCTCTCTTAGGAAATACCTTTCCTGGGCGTGCAAAGCCCTCTTCCGGGAGAGGATCGGTCCAAGTATGTGCGAGTTGTTTTCTTGTCTCCTCACATGACTTAGAGACAGGAGGAGATGGCTTTGTGGTGAGCCTGGGGTTAGAGGTGGTTCCATGTCTGCCAGCTGGACCCATTGGGATCCACCAAGCCTACTGGTGTTTGGGAAGGTGGCTGTCCAGCCAGGTCCCACGCAGCACCTGTGCCCTGCGGGGCCTTTTGGGTGATAGACTCTGAAGCTCTTCCCATCCCATCTCTATCTGTGAGCCCTGGAGGCAGCCAGCTCTGGAGCTGTTAATGTTGGCAGGAAGCCCTACAAGGCCGGGATGGGGCCCATCTTCATTGCTTTCTCTCTTGCTGCATACCAAGACCCACGGATGGGCAGGGTAGGACACCTCTCTCTCGGGGCACTCATTTAGTGTCTACAGACCGAGTCTAGCCCAGTGTCCAACCTTCATACAAGCTGCCCCGTAGGTATTTGCAGAGCTAGATTGCATTAAGGATTAAACTTCTACCACGTTGCCATTAAGGTTTCTCAGCTTCACCACTGTTGACAGCTGGGGCTTGGTAATTCCTTGCTTCAGGGACCAGTGTGTGCCTTGCATGATGTGGAAAGCTTCCCTGATCTCTAGCCTGTTAGATACCAGGATTCCCCCCTCGTTAGCTGTGACAACCACAGAGTGTCTGCACATGTGACTGAGTCACTCTGGTTGAGAGCCACTGATGCAGGTCCAGCCTCGACCTACCCAGGGCAGTGGATTTCATTTTGTGACTCTGTCCCCCTTCATAGGCACCAGAGAAGCAGGGGTCTTCACAAGAACTTAGGAGTCATGGAAGAGTATAGAAACTTTTCTGTAATAGCAGCTTTGTCCAGATGTAATTCTACCATAAAATCCACTGGATTCTAAAGTATACGATTTAGTGATTTTTACATATTGACAGATTTGTCCAACTGTCACCACTCTCTATTTTTAAAATAAAACAACTCCATGCTCCCAGAAAGAAAGCCCATATCTGTTAGCACTCAGTTCGCACTCATCCCTCTTCCAATTCCTGGGAGACCACAGATCTTCTTTTTGTCTCCATGGACAGATCTCATTGCACATTTCATATAAATGTGGTTCATTGTGATTGACTTGATTCCTTGTGTGTGATGTTTGCAAGGTTCATCTGTGTCATAGCATGTATCACTACTTGCCTTTTCATGGCTGAATACCATTCCCTGTTTGTTTATCCATTCAGCAGATGTAGAACATTTTGGGTTATTTCGACTTCTTGGTTATTATAATTGATATTTTTGCCATGAACCTTTGTACACGTTTCATGTAGACGTATATGTTCGTTTCTCTTACCTAGGATTTCTGGGTTGTATGTTAACCCCATGTTAAACATTTTGAGTACAGCTAGAGTGGTTATGAAAGGGGCTTCACTGTTTTATATTCCCAGCAGTGTCAAGACTGCTTTCTCCACATCCTTGCCAGCACTTGGTATGGCCTGGCACTTTGGTCATAGCTAACCTAGTGTGTCTGAAGGGGCATCTTGGTGTGATTTTCATTCATGTTTTCCTAATGAGCGATGATATCAAATTACTTTTCATGCATGCCTCCTTTGGAGGAAATGCCTACTTTAGGTCTTGAATATTTTATTTATTTATTTATTTATTTTTAAGATGTATTTATTTGAAAGTCAGAGTTACACAGAGAGAGGAGAGGCAGAGTGAGAGAGAGGTCTTCCATCGATGGTTCACTCCCCAGATGGCCGCAACGGCCAGAGTTGCGCCGATCTGAAGCCAGGAGCCAGGAGCTTCCTCCAGGTGTCCCATGCGGGTACAGGGGCCCAAGCACTTGGGCCATCTTCTACTGCTTGCCCAGGCCATATCAGAGAGCTGGATCAGAAGTGGAGCAGCCGGGACTAGAACCGGCGCCCATATGGGATGCTGGCACTTCAGGCCAGGGCATTAACCTGCTGCACCCCAGGTCTTGAATATTTTAAAGTTGAACTGTTTCTTCTCTCTCGTTGAACAGCAGGATTTCTTTATATGCTCTGGGTACAAGCTTCTTATCAGATGCGTGATTTGTGACTATTCCCTGCCATTCTCTGAGTTGTCCTTGGCTTCCTTGGTGGCGTCCTTTGAGACACAATGTTTTTAATTTGTCTGCATTTTTTCTTTTGTTCCTAGTTCTTTCATGTCATCTTTAAGACACTGTTGTGAAGTATGAGGTCATGAAGATTTGCTTTTGTATTTTCTTCCATGAGTTTTACAGGTTGTGGACTAGTATTTAGGCGTTGGATCCATTTTGAGTTAACTTTTGCAAGTGATGTGAGGTGAGGGTCTGCACTTTGTTCTTGAGCATGAAGATAACCAGTGGTCCCGGGGCCATCTATTGAAAAAGCTGTTCTTTCCCCATGGAATGATCTTGCCACCATTATTCCAAATCAATTAACTATTGATATATGAGTTTTTGTCTGGACTGCTGATTCTACTCCATTGGTCTAAGTGTCTGTTTTAACCTAGAGTCCACTCTTTTTTTATCACAGAAAGATGGTAGGAGAGTGTCTTTGATCATCAGAAGGGAGAAGGAGTCAAGGTAACCTGGATGAATATGGGGTTAAAAATACACAAAAGGGGACTGCGCTGTGGCACAGCTGGTAAAGCTTCTGCCTGCAGCACTGGCATCCCATATGGGCGCAGGTTCTAGACCCGGCTGCTCCTCTTCCGATCCAGCTCTCTGCTATGGCCTGGGAAAGCAGTGGAAGGTGGCCCAAGTCCTTGGGCCCCTGCACCCGTGTGGGAGACTGGGAAGAAGCTCCAAGCTCTCGGCTTCGGATCAGCGCAGCATTGCGGCCAACTGGGGAGTGAACCAGCGGATGGAAGACCTCTCTTTCTGCCTTTCCTTTTCTCTGTGTAACTCTGACTTTCAAATAAATAAATAGATATTTTTAAAAAAATGCACAGAGTAATCAGATTTTAGAATTAGGAGGAATCTCAGAATTCATGTTAGTTTAAGACTTTTTTTTTTGTGGATAGGGGGAAAAGATTAAGTTTCTTTTTAAAATATTGTTTGTTTATTTGGGAGCAAGGAGAGAGCTAAAGAGAAAAGAGAGAGACAGCACGGCCGCATCACCGTCCGCTGATTCACTCTCCAGATCCCACATGGGTGGCAGGGATCCTATCACTTGAGCCATCCCTGGCTCTCTCCCACTGCCTGCATTAGCGGGAAGCTGGAGCTGGAACTCAAACCCAGGCCTGCTCTTGGGGACCACTAGGCTAAACACCCACTCTTAAAAAGATTAAACTTCAATTTCAGGGATTAAGAGCTATCCCACAGATCCACAGCTGATCCGTGGATTTGGTCCCAAATCTCTCGGCTTTGAGGCCAATCCCAATCTCTTACTCCCAGCCCTGAATGTCAGATCTTTGTACCTCGGGCCTGTCCAGATTTCCTTTTCCAGACCAATAAGGCTCTACATCCCTCCTCTCTAACTGCTTGTTAGGGAGGCAAACGGGGGTGGTGGCCTGTGTCTGCGCCTCCTTTGACAGCTTGTGAGAAACGCAAAGCAGCAAAGGGGAAAGCGTTCTGAAAATCTGAAATTGCTGTATAAGTGCCACTAAATGATAAGATTGCCAAGCTTGCTGCTCTTCCATGAAGGTTCAGCGTGTCACAGGCGGCATAATGGCAGGGAGCAATTCACTGTCAGACGCATCTGTACAGCCCTGGGGTTGTCAGTGTCCAAGGGGGCCGAGTGCTGGAGCTGGACTCCCATGCGAAGGATGCCGTGGGGTGGGCTGGGCCTGACGGAACCCCAGCTGGACAGGGCTGGCTGGGAGGGGCCTGGGGGGTCTGCTGCTTGTCTGCCCCACCCCCCTCAGAGGCACCCTTCCGCACCCCATGTGTACAGACAGTACCCTGGTGTGTTCTCTGGTGGTTTGTCCACAGTCTTCTCTTACCCCCTCGGTCTGTCGCCAGTGAGTGTCCCAGAGGTCACAGTCACAGAGGGGGGGCCCTGTGGGAAACCAGATGGCAGAGCGATCCCCTCACATCGTGCAGCCCTGATGGCCGGAATTGGGCCCTGCTTCCCATCTGCCTGTGCAGTGACTGATGCAGACCGAGTCGTTCGTGAGTGCGTGTCTGGTTGTCAGGGCTGGACGTGGAGGAAGTGCAAGCTGCCTTCCCTGGGGTCGGGTGGGTCTCCTCAGCTGCGGCAGGCTCCCCCAGGGTCCCTCTTTCTCCCTGCCTGTTTTCCTCTCTGGGTGTGCAGTTGCGAGCTGTAAACTCCGTCACCTGCGCTGTCTGCGCCTTCCTTGTACCCGGATGTTTATCTTTTTATCCATACATCCTGTCTTTTCAGCTAAATCACACCATTCTCTGATAGCAGGAGCCGTGTCTTGTACTTAATTTGGGTCACCAGGGTCTAGTGCCGGCTCCTCGGTGTGTGTTTTTGGATGGGGAGGTTGGTCCCCCAGACATTAGTAACTCGTCTCTAAATTTGAGGTTGGCTGCACCATTCTTTCACCATGGTGGTGTTCCACTGGCCACCTGCTCCCGAGGTGAGTATTTGGGGCCCAGTGTTTTGAAAGGGCTTAGAGGTCATGGATGTGAAATGCATGAAAGAAAGATACTCTATAGTCACAGCCTTTTAGCGTCTATGCCCCCGGGCATGGCGACCTCCCCCTTGCATCCCCAGTGCAGCCAGCACCAGGTGAACTGTTACAGTTGAGAACTGAAGGTTGCGTCTCTGCCCCTTCCCATAGCCCTGGAAATCAAAGGGTCTGCGGAAGCCAGCCGGCTCCCTTTGTGGCTGTGCTCCACGAATCTCATGGTGTGACCTTCTCCTTGTTTAGGGCTCTGGCTGACATCTTGAGACAACAGGGACCAATCCCCATCGCACACTGTGAAAGAGAAGCTATCTCGGCTATTGATACCTCTCCCAAAGAGAACACACCGGTGAGATCCTCCTCCAAAAACCTCTACACCCCCGTGCGTACCGCCAAGCCGACTCCAGGTAAGTGTTAGCCGAGCGGAACCTTCGCGGAGGCTACGAGAGGTGTTGGCCGTGTTCTGCTCCTGGGGGCCAGGTGGTGGAGCGCTGTGCCGTGAAGAGAGTCCTTGATGGATGGGTAGGCTTGTGAAGGAGCCTGGGCAGTGTCTCCCTGGGGAGCACTCAGACTGGGAGAGACTGTTGCAGTTGGGTGTCCGGGCTGGATGAAGGCTGATGTTTGTGGGCATCTCTGATTTTGTGAATGGCTGGCATGGTTCTCGCACTGGAAGGGGGCGCCGTGGTGGAGTATGGTTACCTGTTGGTCCATGTCTTCAGAAGGTTTGGGGTGCCCAGGATGGCAAATACATGGCAAAAAGCTGCTGCACCCAATTGTAGAGCCTGTTCAACTATTGGAACCTCAAAGGGTCTTTCCTGTGGGCAGGAGTATGTCTGTGTTCAGGGTGACCCTGTCCTGTGCTGTGCATATCCCCTGGATATAGGATGAGTTGCTGTATATAACTCTATTCAGTCGTTCCTCGCTGTCTATGGGGAGTTAGTTCCAGGACCCCGGAGGGTATAAAATTCAAGGATGCTAGAGACTCTTATATCAAGTGGCATAGTATTTGCATATAACCTACATAATCTTCCTGTATATTTTAAATCATCTCTGCTTATAAATACCTACAAATCTTCTTATAGTGCCTAATACAATGTAAATGCCATGTAAACTGTTGTTATACTGGTTGTTTAGAGAGTAATGACAAGAAAGAAAGGTCTGTGGGTGTTTCGTGCTGACACAGTGTTTTCTAGGTTGTTTCTGATCGGCGTTTGGTTGAATCTCATTGGAGTGAATACCACAGCTGGGGTAATCTCATGGTTTGATGTGGAATCGGATGTGAAGGGCTAACCATACCTGATACTTTTCAGCTCGATTTTCACCATGAGAACACTGGGCAGGGAGGGTTTTTTTCCCCCCTCATCTTACAGATCAATCAAAGAAGCTCAAGGGAACTTAGTAACTTGAGCAAGGGCATTAAAGTATTAATACTGATAAAAGATCAGTAATAGCAGTACTGTGACCTTGTTATTTGTTGGATGGTCCAAGTTTTATGTCAAGCATTTTATCCATATTTTCTTATTTTTTTCATAGCAATCTTAAAGTACTTACATTTATCCCTCATTTTATATGAGAGATGGAAAGATTCATTGTCTTTTCTAAGGTCATATAGTTATTAAGAAATAAAACCAGGATTCAAACCAAGGCAAATAGTTAACATTAGAAAACTGTAATATCCTAACCCAATTGTGGACGTGACCCCAAAGTACCTACACAGACGATATCCTTGCAAGTGCAACTTGGGAAGTCTCATCTCATTGTGAACATTCCCAGACATTGCTTTTACTATAATGGCTTGCATCCAAAGTCTTCACCTCCATCGCTACAGGTTTTGCTATAAGCCCTGTGATTTGCACTAAACCTGCAATAAGCGTATATACCCAGTAGGGGGCAGTGGTGTGTTCCAAATCCCAAACCACAGCATGGACGCTTCTGAGAGCAAAGGTACTTTCTATTCATTCTCCAGTTTTCTTGACTTTATTAAGTCATACTTATCTTTAAGATACTGGGCTCAAATGTTAAGAATGTGATAAAAGCTAAGGACATTCTGTCTTGAAATTATAGGTGTACAAATCAACACACCTATTGACTCAGCAGTTTTTGTAGAATTTAAGGGGACTCATAGATCCCTCCCAGGTTAGCGATCCCTAATTTAAAGGTAAAGATGATGACTCACCTTTGCAAAAAATCTAAGATTTATTTTCAGCCTCTGTATTTTAGACCCATAGACTAGAAGCAATCTTGGCAAAAACATATGGAACCATGCTCATTTACCTGACTGTGCATTAGAAACACCTGGGAGTGGGGGAGGAGTCGCAAGGTGGGGGAGGGCAGGGTTCTTAAAAGCACAGTGCCTTGGAATTCTTAAGGATGGGGCTGGCGTCCGTCTGTATTTTACGGATTCCCCTCAAAGTGATTCTGACATACAGCCAAGGTGAAGGATCACCGGTCCAGGCATCACTGGTCTTGAGGGAGTGAAGACGCTGGATGCCACCGGTTCTCACAGGGCACATGGCAGTCACCTGAGCATCTTAAAGATTAAGGATGCCTGGGCTGTACCTGGGGTGGGGGGGGGTATCACCGACAGGTGCAGGAGGGTGGCCTGCGACTGGGGGGAGGGGGCGGGGACGGGGCGTAAAGCTTCCTAGATGATTCTAACGTGAGCCGAGTTTGAGAATCAGTGGGCTCTGGCTATAGCATCAAGCCCCGTGGTCGCTCATCCTCAGGCTCAATGGCTTTGTCATCTGACCTTGGTGTTATCACCGGCTGGCTTCATCCTTTGAAGTCAGTCTTCCCAGAGCCTTGTCTGTAACCCTGGAACTTCAGGCCACTCTGACATCAAAAGCACCCCTGCTTGTTTATTCTCACCTTTCTCTGCGTGACTTTTCTCTGTTTCACAAGGGGGTTGCTTCCCAGCCACTGCCCCCGGGACTAGGTAGACCTTCCTGATTTGCCCTGAACCGCCCTTCCCTGTTCAGGAACAGTTGCCATTTCTTCTGGCTTCCGCGTGCGGCCTCTTTCTAGGGAGCTCCTAAGGAGAGCTCGTGGTTCCACGATTCAGTTCTGATTCGAGAACTGACTCCCTGCGTTTTTCAAATTGGAACTCTCCACTCTGCTTTTCAGAGATGGGAATGCTTCCCTGGCCCAGAAACCGCTCTCCGTGGTGACACTTGAATTTAAAAGCAATTTCATAACAAGCCATGACTTCCACAGCTTATAATGGACACGACGCTTTCCCAAATTGCTGGTGTCTGTTGCTGCAAAATATTGCAATTGGAGCAGAAGTTTACACAGAACTTTGGCTAAGTGCTCAGAGTGGAAAGGGGCTGTGATTTTGCCACTCATCCAATCAGCAAACCACCAATTGTAGAATAGTGGCACAAGCTTTCTGGGGGATGGTTAGGGAAGGCGTGCAGAGACACTAAGAGGCGTCAGTGCTTTGCTGCTCCAAGTACAGACTGCGGACTAAGTGCATCGGCACCACCTGGGAGCTTGTGAGAGGCTGTGGAATCTCAGGCTCTTTGCCCTGTGGAATGAGGAACCGCGTGTTAGTGAAATGCTATGGCAGTGAAAATCTGAGAAGCCCTGGGAAAGCTGGAAACCTGGCGTCTATCCGTTCTCAGCTTGTCTTTTGGCACGGTCACTATATACGAGGGTTCTCCAAAAATGGAAAATGGAATTAAAACCTAGATTTATTTTGGTGCCAAAAATGTTGAAATCCATGCAGAGTTTTTTTTTTTTGTTTTTTTTTTTTTTTATGAGACACATTTTCCACTAACTTTTTGAAGAACCTTCCAGGGTGATCTCTGCCTTTGGGTTTCTCATCGTTAACTGACACTCAGAGCCTGTGCTGCCTAGGGTTGTTAACAAGAGTTCATGGGAGCAGAACAGTTACAGTAGCTCCTCATCCGAGGCAGACACTCATTATCAGCATGGCCAGGCGATGGACGTAGGGGCAGAATTCGGGGACAATGAGTCCAATGAACAGGAGCACCAAAGGCAGTGCTTTGCTGACCTGGGGCCAGGCGGAGTCAGTGCTAACGACACGTAGGACACACAGCTGCCTGGGCATTCACTGGGCGCTTACTGTGTGCTGGGGACTCTGCTAAGCACCCGTGTGTAACTGAGCATGGATCCTGTGCTATTTGTTTAGGGCCACATGCAAGCTCCTAATTGCACACGAGCAGAAAAGTCCTCTCGCCTCCTCTGAGAGCCTTATACCCTTACTCTTCCAGGAAGCTTCTTTGGAACTTGAAGGGAGCTTCATAAAGGGGCACTTGCTTTGGGTGTGGACAACCAGTTAAGCCTACTTCCTGCTTTCTCAAAGATGGCTGCCTGTAGACCCTCGCTACTCAAACTGTGGTCCATGGACCTGCAGTAGCTCTATCCCATGGGAGCCGATTGGGAAGGCAGAATCTTGGTCTTTCCCCTAGACTTACTGGATCAGAAATCAGTCCTGTAACAAGCTCCCCAGGTGATTGGTAGAGCCCTCTGCCAGTCACTGTCATGGGAATTACCACTGCTTGATTCCTACCCCCAAAGATTTGACTTACTGGGTTTGGGGTAGGATCTTGGCATTAATATTTTTAGTTAAGACTCCCCAAAGTGTTCTCATTTGAAATAGACTTTGAGAACAGCTGTCAAACAGGGAGAACACCAAGGTTTGCCTAATCAGAGATAGTGTGCTGTGATAAGAAGTCCTTCCAAGGCAGGTGGGGAGGGCCCTGGCTCAACTGGGAGAAGAAGGGGCCGGTATGCAGCTATGAAGGGCCATACCTAGACAGAAGCAGGCACAAGTCGAAATGTCACAATTGGTTAGAGGACACAGCAGAGGCTTTCAGCATAGCAGGTTCCCCAACCTCAGGGGAGACTGTGGGCCTGGTCTGCCTAGGTGGAGAGGAGGGGAGACCTGTTAGGTGTGCCTGGCCTAGCCCACTCCTGCAAAGCCCATCCTGGGATAGTTAGGGGAGAGTGGGGTGCCCACCCCTAGCAGAAGCAATGAGACCATATCACGCGTCAGGGTTCCACAGTTGTGATATCCTCAACTTCCCAGTTTGAAGAGCAGCATCAGCTGGAGGCAATAAATATTTATTCCCCATCTACACACCACTGTGCGTTGTATAAATGAGTAATCAGGCATCCTGCCTATTGTCAAAGCCGTGCTCTTGAATGGCAGGCTAAGGAAGCTCAGGGACGTGACCCTTGAAGCTTCACGGAGACCAAGAATGAAGGCTGCCCAGCTGACAGCTGAGAGGCCTGTCCCCCGGGGACCCCCCGACCTCAGATCCGGTTACCTTCTGCCTCCCTCGATGGGTTCCAGGCACACTGGCCTCCTTTCCTGCCCCTTCTCTTGCAATTTGTATTCTTACCTCGATGCATTTCCCTCTGTCTGTTCCGGTGGCTCCAT